CGGATTTATCATTTCAACCGAAGGCGTGAAGATGAACCCAAAGAAGATACAGACTGTACAGGAATGGCCAAAACCCAACACAGTCAAGGATGTTCAATCCTTTTTAGGATTTGCGAACTACTATCGAAAGTTCATTAAAGACTACTCGAAGATCACGACACCCCTTACGGAGATAACGAAGAAGGAAATAGGTTTCAAATGGGAACAGGAACATCAGGAGGCTTTTGATCGAATCAAGCAGATATTCCTGGAGGCGCCAGTACTCGAGATGTACAACCCTCAACGACCCACCAGAGTCGAGACCGACGCGTCTGACTACGCACTCGGAGCTGTACTGTCACAGCAGTGCCCAGATGGAAAATGGAGACCAGTGTTCTACCATTCACGGAAGTTCTCAGGAGCAGAACTTAACTACGATGTTCACGATAAGGAACTACTTGGAGTAGTCGATGCCTTTGAACAATGGGAGGTGTACCTGTTAGGACTCCCCGACACGATCGAGGTTTTTACCGATCACCAGAACTTGACGAGTTTCATGACGACCAAGAAACTCAACCGACGACAAGTGCGATGGGCAGAGATGCTAGCCCAGTTCGACTTTAAGATTACGCACCGCGCTGGAACGCTCAACGGAGCCGCAGACGCTTTAAGTAGAAGGTCTGATTTGCGCGAAGAGGGTCATAAGGAACCACATGACGCCTTACTCAGGACGATGCCCGATGGCAGTCTGAAGTACAACCAGCCGGAACTAGCTAAGGTAGCTAAGGTGGCCGAGCAGGTGGAAACGTTACAGCAGGAATGGCAGCAACGAGCAGCCAGCTGGCAGTTTGAGCCCGACGAAGCAGGCTCCGAAGAACTGTTGAACGACGAACGAGAGTACCGAGATATGATTTCGAAGGATCGAACATATGTACCTCCACACATGAGATCGAGTCTCATACAGGAACTGCACGAGTCCCAGGAATACGGACATGCAGGAATCGAAGAAATGGTTAGGCGACTATCGAAGGTGTTTGCGATACCACGTATGCGTACGAAGGTGCAGGAGATCCTAGGCAACTGTTTGGCATGTCACCAGAACAAGCCCAAGAGACATAAGCCCTACGGCCTGTTACAACCCTTACAGCCACCGACTAGACCATGGACAAGCGTAACGATGGACTTCATAGTGAAGCTCCCAAGATCGTTAGAACCAGGATCAGCTCGATTTTGCGACACCATCTTAGTAATCGTGGACCGATTGACTAAAGCAGCAAAGTTTGTGCCTACGGAAGAAACTATTACGGCAGACGAATGCGCGTACGAAGTCACCAAAGCACTAGTATCAGAGCATGGGATACCTGAAGAGTTCATCACCGATCGTGATAAACTGTTTACGTCTAAATACTGGAATACATTCCTGGCAAAGTTAGGTGTCAAAAAGAAGCTTTCGACAAGCTTTCACCCGGAAACAGACGGCCAGACGGAACGAACGAACCAGACATTAGAACAGTACCTACGGATGTACGCCAATAAATTGCAGGACAACTGGGTAGAGTTGCTACCGACAGCGCAATTGGCCTACAACAGCACGAAATCCGCAACGACGAAGCATTCGCCGCACTACGCGAACTACGGATATGAACCGACAGCTCATCGAGATCCGAAAGACATTGAGAGTGTCGCGGTAGGAGCAGACGACAAGGCGAAGCTTATGCGAGATTTGCACGAAGAATTGAGCCAGAACATAGCTCAACAGAACCTCACGACATCCAAAGCAGCGAATAAACAAAGGATTGAGGGACCAACCTTTAAGAAGGGGGACAAAGTTTTCTTGTCACGACAAAACCTGAAAACTAAACGACCATGCAGAAAGTTGGACAACCTCCGAGTAGGACCGTTCGAAGTCCTAGAGGCAATAGGAAAAGTAAACTACAAGTTGAAACTCCCGCAAGGCATGCGAATCCACCCTGTCTTTCACAAGAAACTCCTGGAACCAGCACCTCCAGATGCCGAGCTAGCAACGGACATAGAGCTCGAAGACGACGAGTACGAGGTCGAGGAAATTAAGGACCTGCGGAAAATTGGCAGTCAGTGGAAGTACTTGGTCAAGTGGCAAGGATGGCCCGAAAGCCATAACACTTGGGAACCTGAAGGAAATCTGACGAACTGCAAGTCACTGGTACGTGAATACCACCGGAAGCACCCGGAGAAGCGAGGGGCAACCCCTCAGGGAAAAGGAAGGAATAATCAAAGGAAGGATCGAAGGAGTCAGCCTGTAACCAGCCCAGATCAGCCGATGGTTCGGATAGCGGTGGTTCGACAACAGGAAGGCCCGTACCAGGGGCAGAGTTCCCCTCGGCCTGCTCTTTCGCCCGATCCTGAAGATTCAAGATGGCAAGATCCCGATCAGCAAACTCTTGCTCTCGTGCCTCGGTCTCCAGAAGCTCGCGACGAAGACGAGAAGTTTCTGCAGCCGCACGAGAGGCCTCAGCAGCGGCCAGAGCCTGACGCTCCTCAGCACGCGCAATCTCCAATCGTTTTTTGCGCTTTTCGGCTTGAACCTTATCCCACTCCTCCTCAGACACGAAAAGACTGCACGCAGCAGCAACAGAAATACAGCCAGCACAACGCCCAGTGGCAGTATCCACGAAACAACGAAGGTTCTTCTCTTCACAGCGCTTACAACGAAAGGTCATTTCGTTCCCCTGCTCTTTTACACGGTCAGCACGAGCGCGACGCTCGGAAGTTGAATCCTGGGCACGAACACGGCGAGAAGATTGGACCTTGGGCATGGTTAGGAAGGCTACGAGGCAGAGACGGCTACAACGAGTGGACGGGCTCTGACCTTATATGCAGCCGGCGTCTCAACACGCGGCACGGGGAAACGATATTCCAGGGTATCGGGACGATAGCCCTAAGAGGGGAGGTAATGTTACAAGTAACAAGAAGAATTCTCTCCTTGACAAGTGACGAGATGGCTGAAGGCCTATGGACGTCCACGCCAGAAGGTAATGATCATCGCGGGGCGAGGATCACGTGATTGACATCACGCCAAGACGACCGTCAGACGCTAGTATGTGATGGCAGCAATCCTTTGATGGCAGCCATCAGGACA